GTAAACTGTAAGATTTATGTATTTTAAACACTTAAGGGATGAAAATCGCTGATTTCATTGTTCATATGTTTTAAGTTATATACATTTATATTAATATTTTTGGAGGAAAGGAAAATAAAATTCACTCAGTTTTATCATTTAGTGAAATCTAATTCGGATTAAAGCGACACATAACTTTAGATTTTATCCTATTGGATTATATTATTCATTCTTTTTCCTCTATAAGTTGCTGTTTTGTTTACATTTTCATAAGTCAGAGCAACCATCACCTTTTCTCTGTCTTAGTCAGAACCTCAGACATTCATGGCACAGAGACAAAGCAACATACCACAAAATCATGAAGAGATGAAGCTAATCTCTCCGAGTGGCTGCTGTGGAAATAGAGAATTTGGTTTGTGACTAAAACCTGTGCGCATCTTACTGTGTCAGACCATGTTTGGACCCTTTTCTCTCTCTGGATTTGCCTCAGTTTTTCATCTCCAGGTCCTTCCATAACATTATGGAACATGGTTGCTGCTGAGTTTTTTCTTTTAAAAAGATAATATTTAGTTTAGATATTTAAGGTTGGTTCTAATTTGATCAGAAATTATTTTACTGACTCTAAAACAATCATCTTGTAGTGAAAGCCAGCCAGGCCGTATATTATCACCCTCATTTTCCCATAGATAGAAGTCATGTCAAGGAAGTCAGTGTGTCAGCAGCATTTTCTTCATTGCAAGATGCAGAAAGGAATCTAACAAGAGAGTGTTATTAAGCTTTTCTTGCATAGTTGGTCTATGGTCTATGAAAATGGAAAATAAAATATATGGTTGATCACATTACCCTTTACTGACTGCTGCCTCCAGGCAGTTTCAGTCCTGGAGCTCCCCCACCTCAGTTCAAAAAGGTTAGCCACTTCTCAAACAAAAACAAATAATTCAATAATTAAAAAATAATTTAGCACCGGAGAGAAGGAAAGCCTTATTTTTGGTGCACCTCCTCCTTGTATCCCCACAAAAAAAGATGTCCCCTGTGTCTCTGTCCTAATGGTTCTTGCACACACACACATTGGGGAGCAAGTTGCAGCTCAGGTGAGTTATTAGGGTCAGGGGTTCAGAGCAGATGGAAATCCTTTTGTCTTGTTTTCCCCATATTTTAACTCATCATTTCCATCCAGTTGCTGTGACTGTGTGTGCGTTTGGGGGGTGGGGGGAGATTGAGGCTTGTAGCAGGCTGTCTTTCTCCAGCGGGCTGATGGGAGGGGGGGCAACTCTTTCAGGTCTGAATTCCACAAGGAGCAGCTCCGTACAGGGAGTCCATGTTTAAAGGCAGGGAGTAAAAAAAAAAACAATGGTTAGTTTAAGAAAGAGTTTCAATGTTTCAAATGAATAAAAAAAAAAAATAATAATAATAAAAATAAAGTTGTTCATCTTTACCAGATAAAGAAGTCTTTTTCAGGAAGGAAATGTCGTCTCGTCAGTCGCCCCACTTTATCCTTCAGTCACTTTAAGTCAAATTTCCCTCTCGTCACATACTTTACTCATCACCATATCATTACTCTTCTCATCAGCATACTTTTGTCTTTTTCTCAACTTACTTTTCTCAATTTAATTTAGTTTTTTTGTAATTTCATTTTATTTTAGGTTAATTCCTCCATTTTACAAGTTTTAAATCACCTTATTTTATGCCCTACTTACTTTAAAAAATAAATAATTTAATAGTTTTTAGCTATGAGTTATTTATTTCCTGTAAGAGTTTAGAGTTTTGTTTCTTTAAAAGTACCATTGAAATTAAAATGCATTATTATTAATTAGCATAGTGTAATTTTAATATATAACACAGTGTAAATATGTTTAGTATCAGGTTTAAACACTGCCTTTTTTTAATTCTTATTTTAACTCATTTCCCTCTGGAGCTGAGAGTTTCTTTGAACTCTCCTCTCATCCATCCATCATTTTAAACTCTTTTTTTTCTTTTTTCTTGTTTTTTTTTTTGTTGATTTTTTTTAATCTGTAAATCTTCTTACCTTACCTTCTTTTTAGCCTCTAACTTCTCATCATATTGGTTTATCTTATCTTCAACATTTTTATATTGCAACATTAAATAAAAATTTTCTTCTTCGGGAGTTGACAATTCCGTGGAACCTTGCCTTTGTTCTACTGCCCTAGAACTGCAAAATCTGTCCCATTATCTACAGGTAATTTACCGGTTTCCAATATGCACACCAATCCTCTGGTGCCAACCTGGATAACTGGGGGGATCTCACTCTAGATTACCGACATCTCAGTAAAATTAAGTACCTTCTGGTGGCACCTACAACCTTCCTCTCTCTCTTAGAGAGAGCATCACGTTCCTATGCGAGGTCTTTGTTGGGATCCGGAGGTTTGCCCACCAGAGGGCGCCGAGGATCCCTTCCTGAGGGCTTCTGCTGTCTGTTGGGATCCAGAGGCTTGCCCACCAGAGGGCGCCAAAGATCCCTTACTGAGGGCTTGTGCTCACCTGCAACACCTGTCTTTTATCTCCTCATCAGCCTTGGGCCTACTTAAGGAGGAGGAGACTAACACTCCAACGCCAGAGTGTTTGCCAGTTACGGTGGAACCTGCCTGTTAACCTGAAACTCTGGAGAGTTTCTCTGCCGGTGACCTGTCTGCCTGCTCTCTGTTGAACTCTGGAGGGCTTCCTCCGTCAGCATCTGCCTGCCCGCTCTCAGAAGATAACTAGGAGAGAGACTCTGTCCGTGATCAGCCTGCAAGCATACAGTAAGCTCTGCTTCTGCCTCAGACCAAGCTCTCAAGAGAGAGAACCAAACCTGGAGTCAGCCAGCTTGCAATCAGACTGCCTCTGCCCAGCTCTCAGTTCTCCTCCTGCCTGCACTCAGCTCAACCTCTGCTAGCCCTCAACCCTCGGTCTGCCAACCTGCTCTGGATCCACAAGGTCTTCCCCCTCTCTGCAGCTCTGCACATCTCTTGATCAGTCTCCCTACTCCTGGACCTGTTTATTATTTTACATTTCTTTAATAAACCTTTTGAACTTTTCTCCTGCCTCCGAGTGTTCTGCATATGGGCTAGATTCCATAACCCATCATGACAGTCTTTTGGTCCACAGGTGGAAAAAAAAACCTGAATTGCCTTCCTGCTCCCCAAAAAGAAAACTTATCTTTTATTTTGTATGTATATTCTTTAGTATTATACTAATGGTAATGCTTTTGAAATGATTAATCTTTCATTTAGTCAGATTTTTATTTTATTTTTGTTAGATTACATTTATTTATTTGATTATTTTAATGGAGAAGAGAACTTTGAGCTAATTTTCCAGTATTTGATTTATAATCTTTAAATCTGTTAACAACCTGTTTGTTTTGCAATTTAGTTTTTGAAATTTAATTTAAACTGTGCCGACAAAAGATTAATCTCACCGTGTCAAAAAGATGGTTCGTTTTGATCCTCCTGCTGACCTCCAGGGACGTCAATGCCAGAAGTCCTCACTTCCTTAACCTGCTAAACGGGGTATTGAGGCTGAAGACTGCTTCCTCCAGGTGGTACCTGACACTTCTGACAATTGCTGTCCTCAAAAAAAAAATCAGTTAAAGAGAATCCTGTAGACAACACCAAATTGACATGGGAAAAAGTATTTAACTATTCACCCTAGTTAAATAAACAGAGATCGATGGATTTCACTCAGTCGGCACATTTATTCATATCTTTGCAAAGAGGGAACAGTTCATCATACAGCCCTTATGGCAAAGCATTCTGCCCTGTTGTGCTAGAGCAGCGTTCGTCCCCCATTACTTACAACAATGGAAAGTAGTCAGAGTCAAAACAAATCACACACACTTTGGTTAAACAGGAATATGTTATGAATAAACCTTGAGAAAGAACCTGATTTGTTATGGGAAGAAGCTATGTCTGGTCTACAAACATCATCCTGCAGAGAAAGGTTTGGCCTGGAGAGAGAAACAGACTGAGTGAAAACTTTTATAGAGAGTTAATAGGATAATTAGTATATAATAGTAGAGAAATAAAAGTTTTCCGACAACACAACTTCCAAACTGATTAAAACCAAAAAACGTGGAAAAACTATCATGTTTGAATAAAAATGACTAACACCTTTCATTTTGCTTATCATTGCCCAAATTGCACAAACACTTTCACTGTCTGCTTGGGTTTATTTCACTAAAAAGGGTAGAAAAACTGTGCACCTTAAATGATTTTTCTAAGAAATTTTACACTTAAAAAAAATTACAAAAGATTTTATGATACACACCAACCATTAACCATTTCAAAGGGACTTAAAAGGGGAAAAAAGAAAAACAATAGCAAAAAAATCACAGATTTTATTACAAACTGTAGTTCTGCACCCCACCAGTAGGTGGTGACATGTTCCCATGGAGCCTCATGAACTGTTGGGATCATTGAAGCAATTTGGCGAAACGGTTAAATGCCTCATGAGGCTTCATCTCACCATCACAAGTTGTGACATTAGCAGAGTCCAAAGATATGAAAAAATTAAAGAGAGAATAGTAAACTTACAGGAGCTTGAGTGAACTAGAAGCACGCAGTAGAGCTGAAGATTTGAAAATGGGGTCATCAGGAATGTAGTTGACCTTTTAGTTGCCTGATTTTATTGCTTTTTATAAATATCTGACAGTGGGGACAAATATCTGGGACACATTTTGAGCAATCACAAAATAATAGTAAATATTCAAAACTCACTGTTTGTAGTTTTAAATACGTATTACAATGCACTCAACAGTACACATATTACTCAATTCAACTATTACTTTTTCTTTTTTAATCAAGTTGAAATGATTATCTCCTGCCCAAGGACGACTGATTTTGCAGGCTATAAAACTCTCTGCTTAGTTTAGTTAATGTGTTCATATTCAAGTTTTCTTATTTGAATTGGAATGTGTGTTTACTTTGACTAAGATAATAATAATAATAAGACCAGTTTTTTTTCTTATTACTGCCCCCTACTTGACTGACGGAGTAGTGCTGTTTTTCTCAGACTGATTTCAATAAATGTTCCAGGTCCTTTCAGAGCAAAGAGAGCAGCAGCCTGATGAATCCTCTGGGTTCCTATTACCAGAGTTAAACACATCCTGGAGCTTTGAGTGGAAAAGGGTCTGAAATATTAGTCTGAATCTGATGGAGGAAAGAAAGAGAAAAATAGGAGCAGTTGGAGGAGGAGCAACGCTGGAAAAACCAGTTTTAGTGTCACTTTACAGAAATGAAACATAAAGGGTGAGAATAACATCAGAGCTTCAGTCCAGACTAGTTTCTCCGTCTCTGTCAGAGTTTCTTCGGTCTTCCTCATCAACCGACTCAAACAGCGGTGAGTACAGCTGATAATATTCACTGTGTTTCTAACAGCAGCATCAGCAGCAAACTGGAAAGATGTTAATCAGCAGAAAACTGGGAAAATCATCTTATTATATTCAGAAAAACACATATTTCAATTTAAAGCTTTTAATTGTTTGGAATAAATATGAAAACTAAATGAAGACATTGGTAAAGTGGATCGTACACTTTAATTCAACCTAAATGTAAATTTGTGGTTCAAAGGTCAATCTTATTTAGCCTCAGTCGATGACAGGAAGACTCCTCCTGTTGGGATCTGGAGATGTACCACCTTTCTCCAGCAGAGTGCGCTGTGGGTCTCCTGGGCTGGAGCCCCCCAGCACACCTGACGTTCATCAACCCATCAGGAGACCTGCCTTCATAAGCAGCAACCAGACCTTCCTTCGACGCCGCAGTGTTGACCTAGTTTGGTTAGCAAACCTGAGCCTCTGTTACCTGAAAGAATCTTTGTTATCTCAAGAGAGAAACCCAATTCTAATCTGCCTCTGTCTTTGCTCATAGGAAACCTGTCTCAAGTCTGAAGCTCTTGATGAGCTTAACCTGCCTGCCAGCCCTGGTGAGCCAAACCTGAAGATTCCAATCTGGATATCTCCTGCTGCTCTCAGAGAAGAGCTGGAAACTCTGATCAAGGTCTGCCATTCAAAGTCAGAAGCTAGACGCTGCTGCTGCTTGTGCACTCTGCTGAACCAACAGTCTCTGGACCCAACGGTTCCCTCTCTCACAAGCAAAGCCTGGACTTCTTCAAGGTAGACTCTGAATTATCTAAAGACTCAATTAATCATCTGACTGCCTGGCTAATCAAACTGTCCGTCTCTGCAGACATCAGTGAACCCAACCCGGACCAGTACCAGAACCTGTACATGTCTTTTGTGAAAACCTTTTTCAATAAACTCTGTTAAACTTTTACTCAGCCTCCGCTTGTGTTCTGCATGTGGGTTTAGCTTTAAACCAATCCTGACAGAACACTGCGGCCAAATACAAGACCCAGCGGAGCACCTCCAGGGGAGGCTTGAGGAACTAGAAACCCAAACCCATGGTCAAGCCAGAACCCTATGTGAGTTGAATGCTTTTATCGAACATCATAACCAGACCTTACAGACTTTTGCTGGCTATTTTAGAAATGCTAACGCTACGCCAGCAGTACTTCCTGTTCCGGAACCACTTCCGCCTCTAAGGTCACCGACAGTGACGTCATTTCCGGAATTCCGTCCGAGTCCTCCTGAACGATTTTCGGGTAATCAAAAGGATTGTAGAGGATTTTTGTTTCAGTGTCGTTTGCTTTTTGAGCATTCCCCTGGTAGTTTCCCGAATGATAGGAAGAAAATCTCCTTCATTCTCTCCCAACTTACTGGTCGCGCCCTTGAATGGGCGGAGGCAAGGTTCTCTTCTGAGTCCAGTTTTTTATGTACGTTTTCTGAGTTTATATCTGAGTTTTCCCAAGTTTTCAATCACGACTCAGACAAAACAATTGATCCCCGAGCTCTGCTAAGTTTGAAACAGGGAAATGCAACAGTGGCTGAGTTCTCCATTGACTTCCGGGTTAAAGCTGCAGCCTCAGGCTGGAACGAGTGTGCACTTAAGAGTGCTTATTTCAAGGCTTTAAATGAAAACATCAAAGACGAACTCGCCACAATCGACGAACCAGCCAGTCTGGAGGAATTAATCCGATTAACTATCAGACTGGATAATAGACTTCAATCTAGAAATCTCTCTAAACACGGAGGACCAAGTTTTTCTGTTTCTGCTCCTGCATTTAATAATGCTTCTGTTTTTTCTGGAACCAGAACCCAGTTCCAAGCCAAAGTCTAAGAGTCAGACTTTTTCTGTGCCTGTCCAAGTCTCTCACGCAGATGGATTGGAGGTCGAACCCATGCAAATTGGACACACAAGGTTATCCCCCGAAGAAAGACAACAGAGATTTAGAAGAAAACTTTGTCTGTACTGCGGTGAGATCGGCCATTTCATTTCTTCATGCCCGCCTAAATCAAAAAGCCAGGGCCCGTCAGTGGAATTGAGGAGTCTGACGGGCCATCCAAAAACTGAAAAAACTCCTCATTTATTGTTGCCTGCAACCCTCTTTTTCTCTAACCAGAATCTCACATTATCAGCATTCATCGACTCTGGGTGTGAGAGAAATCTCATTGATTCTGAACTGGTCCAGCAGTTAAGGATTGAGACTGTTCCCTTAACTAAGCCTCTCAGAGTATCAGCAATTGATGGAAAGAAGCTTCACCAAGTTACTCATCAGATCCAACCTTTAGAACTTCTTATCTCAGGAAACAACTGTGAGACGCTAACATTTTTTGTTTTTCCCTCAGCATGCTCTCCACTGGTGCTTGGTTTCGAGTGGTTGGAACGTCACAATCCCCATATCAACTGGGCTGAACGCCACATTGAGTCTTGGTCTACTTCCTGTCACGAGTCATGCCTTCGTTCTGCGGCTCCTTCTGTTCAGTCCCCTAGAGGTAGGGGGGAGATGGACTCTCTTGACCTCACTTCTGTTCCTCCCGAGTATCATGATCTGGCACCAGTCTTCGGTAAGGTCAGTGCGACGTCTCTTCCACCTCACAGACCATATGACTGCGCCATTGATTTACTACCAGGAGCCCCCCTTCCCAGCAGTAGACTGTTTAACATCTCCAAACCAGAACGTGAAACTATGGAGAAGTATATCAATGAGTCTCTAGCCGCTGGAATTATTCGTCCATCTTCATCTCCTCTCGGTGCTGGTTTCTTTTTTGTGGGGAAAAAGGACGGTTCCCTCCGACCCTGTAGACTACAGAGGCCTTAATCAGATAACCGTCAAAAATAAGTATCCCCTACTATTACTGGCATCAGCTTTGAACCTGTTCAAGGTGCAACAGTGTTCACCAAACTTGATTTAAGAAACGGCTATCATCTCCTTACAATAAGAGAAGGGGATGAATGGAAGACAACATTTAAGACTCCCATAGGCCAGTTTGAATACCTGGTCATGCCTTTTGGTCTTACTAACGCTCCTGCTTGCTTCCAGGCTCTAGTCAATGTGTCATGATCGGTTTAGGGATAAACCCACATGCAGAACACCACTGGAGACTTGGTAAAAGATTTAACAGAGTTTATTAAAGGTTTCACACAATGACATGAACTAGACTCAGGTTCTGGTCCGGGCAGGATTCTCAGGCGTCTGCAGAGACGGATAGTTTGGTTAGCTTGGTTTGCAGATTAGTTAAATGAGTTTTCAGATGTTTCAGTGGATACCTTGAAGAGGTCCAGGCTTAGTTCTGAGAGAGGGAACCGGTTGGGTCCAGAGACTGTTGGTTCAGCAGAGTGCTAAAGCAGCAGCAGCGTCTAGCTTCTGACTTCCAGTGAAAGACCTTGGTTGGAGTCATCAGCTCTTTCCCTAAGAGCAGCAAGTGGATTCCAGAGTGGGAACTTCAGGTTTGGCTCTCTAGGGCAGGCAGGCAGGTTTCTGGTTAAGCTCATCCAGAGCTTCTCTCGAGAGATTGGTTTCCTAGGAGCGAGAAGACAGAGGCAGATTAGAATAAGGTTTCTCTAGGAAGATAAAGATTAGTAAATTCAAAGGCTCAGGTTCGCTAACCAAACTTGGCTAACACTGCGGCGTAGAAGGAAGGTCCGGCAGCTGCTTATAAAGGCCGGTCTCCTGATGAGCTGATGAACGTCAGCTGTGCTGGAGGGCTCCAGCCCAGGAGGATCCACAGCGCACTCTGCTGGAGAAGGTGGAGAATCTCCAGATCCCAACACAATGATGTCCTCAGAGATTTTTTGAATGTTTTTCTTTTTGTAAACATCGATGATATTTTGATCTACTCCAAGAACCTCTCAGACCACAAGAAACATGTTCGACTAGTTCTTCAGAGACTACTGGAAAGCAAACTCTTTGTGAAAGCAGAAAAGTGTGAATTTCACCAACCATCTGTCACCTTTCTAGGGTTTGTGCTCGAAGGCGGGCAGGTGAAGCCATCCGAAGACAAAATTAAGGCAGTTTTGGACTGGCCGACACCTGAAAACCGTAAGCAACTCCAGAGGTTTCTTGTTTTTGCAAATTTCTACAGGCGTTTTATAAGAAACTATAGTCAGACAGCTCTACCCCTCACAGCTCTGACTTCTGTGAAGAAGACATTCCAATGGACATCTGAAGCCGAAAATGCCTTTAATAAACTGAAGAATCTGTTTTCCAGGGCACCCATCCTCATCTAACCTGATCCCTCTAAACAGTTTGTTCTAGAGGTGGACGCATCTGTTGGAGCAGTTCTATCTCAACAGTCTGACTCTGACCAGAAAATTCATCCTTGTGCCTTTTTTTCACGTAGACTCTCTCCGGCAGAGCAAAATTATGATGTCGGAGGACGAGAACTTCTTGCCATCAAACTCGCCCTGGAGGAGTGGAGACATTGGCTCGAGGGGGCCGAGCATCCAGTATTGGTGTGGACAGACCACAAAAACCTGGCTTATCTTCAGTCAGCTAAACGATCCAACCCACGTCATTCCAGATGGTCGCTCTTTTTCTCTCGCTTCAATCTTATCATTTCTTACAAACCTGGTTCCAAGAACGTCAAGCCCGACTCTCTCTCTCGTCTGTACTCCACTGATCAACCTGAGACACCTGAACCTGTTCTCCCTGCCTCATGCACGATTGAAGTCGTTACCTGGGAGATCACCGATCTCATCAACTCTGCCCTGGCTTCTGAACCTGACCCAGGTAACGGTCCTCCAAACAAAACGTATATTCCATCTTCCGTCAGATCCCGCCTTATCCAGTGGATGCATGCAGCAAAATTCTCGGCCCATCCTGGAGTGAGCAGAACCATAGCCCTCATCTCTAGACGTTTTTGGTGGCCGTCTCTTCACAAAGACGTAAAGGAATACGTTCTGGCATGTTCCATCTGCGCCAGAAATAAGACTTCCCATCAACCACCTTCTGGTCTGCTGCATCCTCTACCTGTCCCTACCCGTCCTTGGTCCCACATCGCA